AGACTACTGATTCATTTATTACTGAGATCTATAAATCGCCGGGATGCCCTAGAGGTGATGTTCAGTAACAGAGGAAGTAACATTGTCGGTTGTCATACTGAGATGAAAGGTCATCTCGAAAGCTCAAATGAAATCTCACAAAGAACTATTGAAAAGGAAAATAGAGTGGCATTTCAATTCACCACAAGCCATTCACAGAGTTGAATCAAGGGAAGGACTTATAAATGTTATTAAACTTGCTTTAAGTCCCATAAATAAGAACCAGAGCATAATTGATGAGACCTTAGAGACAACTTTATGCGAGGCAGAAATGATTTTAAACGGTCGACCGTCGGCATTAGTGAAAGACGATGTCAAGGGCTTCAACGCCCTGACTCTAAGAGAGGTGTTATTCCCGCCAAGAAAATCAGCTTTTGAGGACCTGAATTCAGGGATCAAACCTATTATTGAGAGATGGAGACAAGCCAGATGTCTGAAAGACATATTTCGCAGAAGATGGTTTCCGGAATTTGTGTTAAAATTGAAAACGAAAATTGTTTAGAGACCATCTAGTTGGTAATATTGTGCTAGTACCAGAAAAATCTAATATAATCAGCTGGCCTTTAGGAAGGGAGAAAGGCGTACTTGTCAGTAATGATGGATTGGTGAGAACTGTCCAAGTTATGACAAAAAATGGTACAGTGGTGCGTGACGTACGAAAATTGTGTTTACTCGAGGAAGCGGCTGAGTTGAGTTCGAAGCCTGTACAAAAAGGCGATTTCCCAAAACAGAATCGTCAAAATGGCACGTATTGCAGGCTTAATGTTGTAAGTCCTGCAATTTTTCAAGGGCATTACATTAAGATATGGTCCACGAAAGTAGGTCTGTAAGGCCTCTACAACTTGGTATGCGGTGAGTGATTGAGGAGTCCAGAAGGATAGGACAAGTAATCATGGAGAAAATTTATCTTCCCCATGATTTGCAAGTCCTTTCTTATCTGGTGAATGATAGATACCCTTCTATATGTTTGGCTGGGTTTTCTGCTACACTTGCCCTCCATCATGCTTTCGAAAATAATGGTTTAAGACAACTAGTCCTCTACAACATTATAAGCTATCGGTCAGTGATTTCAGCAATTATCTCCGCAAGAAAGTCGGTTTCTAATTTGGCGAGCCCGACGTGATTTATGCTGATTCAGCCCCTTATGCTCCATATCACCCAAGGCACAACATGTCACACCTTCATGTTGCCTGCCACCAACTGCACAGAGGCAGTAATTCTGGTGAGTCAGTCAAAAGCGTTGTTTGAGCTGCTAATAATTATTTATAGGCTGCACTTTTCCGGAAGCAACTTAAAACTGGTTAGTTGAAAAGATGGATAATACAATCACTCACAGAACTCGCTTTCATCAAACAATCGGTTTTGTGTTCATCGTAGCTGACGAAGTGATTCCGAATTGGTAAAACTGTATTTATCTGAATTTTAGGCGCGTGTCTTCAAAAGATATTAATTAATTCATTGATCATGCTACTGGTGAGACGCATATAAGCTTACTTTTTAATGGTTCGCACTCGTCGTAGGTATATTAGAAGCCTTGTACTGTTTCTGAATCTTATTTGCAAAAAGCACCATCTACATCTTTCAGTCCACTCATGTATGCAAAAGCCAAGTTATTTTGCTGCCGAACAAGAAACGCTTCATCAACTAATTCAGCAGCAGCGCTCACTCCAATGATACGTACCACCGTAGGAATTGTCATGCTCAAACAGTCACAAGCTATAGTGGTTACTTCGCGCAAAATGGCCAGTTATATACTCTGATGTCACTGTTGACAGCCCCTAGCTATCTAATGCATAAAACTTTCATGACCAAGTCAGCTACTCCGTGAATAATTGCCGGCTGTATACAAGTTGCACTGGAACAGATTCTTACATCATCTCATCCGTTTAACGGTGGTATTGCCATTTTATCATTCCATCGCATGAGTCTCCAGCCTAGCAGCTGAGGAAATCTTCTGGTGTCTTTATTTAATCTTCAGCAGCAACCTAAGAGGCTGACTCAGAAGTTATCCAGGAGGGTTTATTATCACATAATTACTGCTGTGTATTACGGATATACACATATCACTTTACAGCTACCGAAATAAGCTTTGGTAGTCACTTATATCACTCCCATTCTATTAAAGTTTGGTTCTCAGCGTCACCAAGTCGTCACTTCATGTAAATGCAACAAGTAATATCATGGGACACTGAGTTAGGAGTCCACCTCTCTTGGTTACGCTCATGTTCGTTTTGTCAAACAACTCACGGTTCTGTGCAGCCTAACCTGCACCAGATGATTGAAATTTTCTTTCTTTGAACATGAGTTAGGAATTAAATTCCTGTTACAAACATTCATATTCATATGCTGTCCAAATAGTGAAACATTTTCACTGATTGGCCATACATCCATGTGTGGTTAATCACGTTTGATTTCAAGGATCTTCTGCACACTGGATGTTATGAAATCATACCAGGCCAACTTTCCACCACCTCCATCGAACGCTGAGCTGATTGTTTGTACTGTGACGCTATTAGTACTGCTACTTTGCAGCAAAGAGTAAACTTTTTCTCTTAGACAGTTTCTGCTGTTCTTCTGCTTCCTGCTTCAGATTATCAATACACTGCGAGTTTCGGAAGATCATCCAACTCTTAGCAAAATCCTTCACTGAGTCGAATCAACCCTAGTTGATTCTAGTGGGTGAGTAATGTGGGGATCGGATAAAGTTCGTCAAATAGGTTGAGCCCCAGCCGTTTCAACGTCGACGATAAGTATGTATATCTGTGTGGATTGAAACTAACGATGGTCAATACGACCTTGAAGGGACAGGAGCTCACTGGTGACGTTATGGTGTGATCGTGTATTTATTTATATTATCGTTAATAAATACACCTTTGGGCAAAAGTAAGTTATATTCACCTCCCGCTATTCGGGGTAGTGTTGAGAGCAGCCCGACCACCAGCTTAGGTGGGCCAGGGTAAGGAGTCACTCGGAATTGTGGCTAAAGCCCGGGTCTGGCATGATAGATGGCCACAAAACAATCACGATTTTTGTTTTCGAATGAAACCAATCGGAAGCGGGCTCGAAATCCTACAGGTGGAAGAACTAACTGGTTTCCTAGAGGTATACTCTGTGTATATGAGTAGGGCTTTCATATAAACTGAAACTTTTACATGGATAGGCACTGTTTACTTTTTGTTTTCAGTAATTTGATCTCCTGCATAAATTCTGCTAAACTTTCATCATGCCAGCTTTTGAAGTCGTTTCGAGCCTTCCGAATACACAGTGGGATTAACTGATATTAAAGCTTAAATCATTGAATGAAATTCAGCCCATCGAAGGAAGGGTGAAGGTGGGAGACTACATAGTGTGACTAGGCAACGTACACTGAGTATTTATGTAAACAAAGAGTAAATTCATTCAGGGGTATAGGGGTTACTGCCATAGCCACAAAAATGCCACCAAATATGGTAAGGGATGCAATGGTTCTCAAACTACTGTCTGAAATGAAGCCAGGTAAATAACCCGGACCCAGCGAACTTCACCCTAGACTGCTAATCTCTTTGGTGGATTTAACAAACATTCTATTCATGGAGATCTTTCAGATGCCTCTGACGCAGGCTAGGCTACCCAGGGACTGGAAAGATGCTTTATAGGCTCCATCTCCAGAGGGGGGAACAGTTAGTATCTAACTACCGACCTGGATTACAGTAAAGGTATTAGAAATAACCATAAGGCATCAGCTCTTAGCTCATATGAAGAAACGTGGCTTACTGGTAATGAAACAGCACGGATTCCGACCAAGAAGATCCTGCCTGATAAACTTACTGTTAGCTAGGGAATATTGGGTCGAACCCAAGGATAAGAACCACCTACCGAACGTTATCTTTATCGATATTAGTAGAGCATTCGATGAGGTATCCTATTTAGGCCTTCTTAATAAACTTAAACGTTTTGGATTAGACCAACGCCTATGTGAGTGGCTTATTGACTACCCGATAGATAGAAGGCAAAAGTGTAAGGCGGTACAGAGTGTAGTACCTAAATGAATTGCGGAAAATTCCCACCTTATCTTCCTTATTATTTGCCGACTATATTAAGACATGGAAGACTGTTAATAATAATGATGATAGGTTGGTACTACAAGACAGTTTGGATAAATTAGCTGAATAGGCTAACCTCTGTAGTCTGGAAATCAGTTCCAAGAAAAGTGCGGTAATGCACCAAGGTCAGAAATCTTACACGTCGTACTCCCTGGGGGACACAGAAATACCAGATGCTAAGGGATAACAGCACCTAAGAATTATTGTAAGCCATGACCTAAAAACAACGGCAAATTTTAATAGGGCCGCATCTAAGGCTCTTTGAATGCTATGGGTACTTCGACAGGCTTTCAAACGATCAGACGAGTGTATGTTACAAGTATTCAATGCAACATATGTCAGGCCTCATCTAGAATGCTGCATATAAGCAGTGAGTCCATGCTTCAGAAAGCAGGCACATATCCTGGAAAGAGTGCAGAGGAAAGGAAAAAAATAATAATTGGTAACTCACACCTTCCTGACGACAAGAGGATGGAGCATTTAAATCTCTTCCCATTTTCATACCGAAGGAGGAGAGGCGACTTAATTTCGGCTTACCGTATATTAAAGGGTGATTTAGGGATTGACCTTTCAAACCTTTTCTCTCGCTCTAGGATACATATTCACTAAGTTACGACAAGAAGGTGCTCAAACCAAGGTCGAATAGAATACGTGTGGAATTTAGGTTCTCTCACAGAATCGTCAACGTCCGGAGCTCCTTACCTGATTCAGTAGTAACAGCTCCATAGGTGAAAACTTTCAAAGAGAAATTAGATATCTGCAGAGATGCATATTGCAATTATTAACATAGGCAACAAGAGCCTTCTATCCTTGTGATCTGAATCTGTACACTCACTGAATATTGAATGTACAGAGAGCGACTTATAAAATTACCAATCAGGTGACTTTAAGAGGTACATTCGAAATTATATTGTGATGTGATGCCTCCTTGGGGACTGGCAAAAAAGCCTGTCAAGCTGTTCTTGAACTTTTCGTTCGGACAGTTTCTTTCTCAACCGTTAGAAGATGATCAGATACTAATAACCTCAAACGGTATTGGCTGTAAAGATATTTACTTCAATATTGATGTAAGATAAACTAATTTAATGAATCTATATGGTAGAAACTAAATGCCTTACTATCTGAAAGCGGAATTCCTCTCGTCGTTTGTGTCGCTTACATATCTGAAGTAGTCATCTGTCTGCCATGGAGTGTTGAAATTAATGGGATAGACTTTGTGGTACAAGCAATTTCAGAAGTCTCCTCACCATCTGGAAGTAAGCATTTTTGCCTGTTTTTCCTTCACTTCTTTCAAACAGTATTTTACTGAATTTTATTGTAACTGACTTATTTCATGCTTTCGCCACAGTCTAAGATGGTTGGTAGTTAGTGAGGGGTTAGTTATCCGTAAAAAACTGCTAATCCTACAAATCAAAGCTTTTCTATACTAGGATTTAAATAGTATATCCGTCATTGATGTGTCCTGCATTCTAAGCAGTCGAGAAAACTGTAAACTATTGATATAATGTCCACTAGACAGCTTTTCATTCTGTAGATTTTCTCCACTGAGTAAACTTTTTTTCCTAGGTATTGTGAGAAAAGTTTGGAGTGCTTATTGTGCGTTGATTCAAAAGGAAATATAACAAGGAGAGTGTTGGATTTAATAGGAACCTCAGCACAAGATGTTGTTAAAAGACTTATTGCTTACGTACTATTCACATCGTTGTAGGTTCAGTAATCAATTGTTTAACATAGTAAAGTGTCACGTTTTATGTGTATAACACACTTGTTTTCTACCTACTGAACTACTTTTTCAGTTTCGAAATTTCGACTCAGTGGTATCAACCATTTTTTACCTGTTTCTTCTCTCAGTGTATTTTGAAAGCTTCACGGCTTTCCAAATGTTACGCAGAATATTTTAAACTCTGTCGATCGAAGCCATTAAACAGAATCATGAAGTTTATTGCTAAAGAGGCTTACTAGAGTTTCTGATAGCTTAGCTTTAATGTCTTATTTTCAAGAGAATGCCATTCATCATCACAAAACTATGGAAGAAGAATCGAATAAACCTAAACCCTTATACACTTAGGTAATCATGGTATTCTCTCTCCTTAATCGTCATCAACTAAATTTGAAACTATAGGCAACTTGGTGCGAAAACAACCAAATATCGATATGTTCATCTCTGGAGAGTAGCCATTCACTCATAATGCATGTAAGCATTCCATGCCTCCAGACTTATAGGAGTACCACTGCACTAATACGTTGGTACGTTTCCACTGGAACTTTTGAAGTGTCCACCGTACCTTAATGGACGATACACTTCTGAAGTCTGCAATACAGCTTGAACTGTATCTCTAGGCTACCTTAATTAACACTGTCGTACATTCATGTCAATGACAGGTGAGTAGCTTTACTTTGTCACCAAAGCCAGTGTTGTTGTCAGACACATTTTGTATGCGGTATAAGTTCGTATGATAATGCAGGTTTAGCCGTCTTTGTATCGTTAGCGTGTTATTTTATTTTTCAGTATCCTGTGCATAATTATAAACACTTCACCAACGAACTTACTATTCCATTTTCTTATTTCAGCCGATGAACTGTTTAATTCAATGATATCTAGTGTAACAACTGCAGCCTTTGCCGTTGCTAAGGCTGCAAACAGTTCTACAATTCCTTCAAGTCTTTTCGAGGAAGGCTTTGTCCAAACATCGGAAGAAGGTGCAAATGTTGAGTCTACAGACAAAGATAAAATTCCAAAAGGCTTGCAGGAGCAAGCATATAAGTTCTTCGAAAATCTTACAGTTGCCGCCGAGACAATGAGTATCGGTACAAAAGGTGCAAGTTCGTATGTTGATCAAGACAGTAAACAGAGAATCGCACATATGATTGATTCATGTAAGTCTTTTAACTGGTTATAAGCTGTCATCATTTCCTGTCTGTTATCTCCTTCAAGCACATACATATCCAGAATTTTAGGAGTAAATATAGGTAGACTACAAGTGATCGAAAGTTGTTGAGCTGGTCTGCGTATATACGGCTTTTGGGAATATCATTAAGAACAACATTACGGAAATTAGTATCTTTCATTCGTATCTTCACACTTTTAAACCTTTTAATTTGATTTTACAACTCTTACTTATCTTTCTCTTCTAAATTATCACACAGTAGTGAATATTCCCCGTTTCAACTGTGCAAACTTCAACTTGGTTTCCAGTGAAATTGACCATTGGCGTCCTAGATTATATCACTGCTTCCAAATTAAATGTGTCTAATATTTCTTATTAATGCTCTTCAGCTGCTATCTAAATGCTCTGATGATAATACGGAAGTCTTTTGTAAATGAAAACCTAGATCCAGAATTACAGGTATTCCTCACCGAAAAGGTTATGGTCAGTAGTGCATGATACTATCGACTTGTTTTAGTGAACAAGTGTTTAGGTCAGACTTAATTATTGCTTTATACTTCACTAACAATCATTTGTTCGTCATGTTTTTGCTTTTACTCTTTATATATTTTCCAGTGATTGCACAGACTAGCATTGTCCTACGCGATGTCAGTATTCGTGTTGAATGTGAGCTAAGACTACCAGGGCTTGATCGTGCTTCTGGATTAACACTATCCATTAAACACTTATCAATATCAAATCAGTATAAAACAGAGGACAGACAACCACCTCCTTCACAAGCAACTGGTGGTCGTTGGTCGTGGTTATGGTGGTGGCAAAGTTCAAACAATACAGGTAGTGAGTTGTGTATTATTTATATCTTATTCACGCAATAAATACCAGAACTCATAATATGCATCTGCTCAAAATTTTAATATTTCTCATTTTGGTATTCTGTTAGATACTGAACCAGAGGCTATTCTCTATGTTGTAGATTTTGCGTACATGTGTCACTCTCTGACTTCCCAAACCGCAGAGGTTTCAAATCTATACCCCACTAGTTAACTTATACTTTCACATATGAAGCGAATTGTTGAACGATAAACCCTGCTTTAAAAAAGGCTTCTGCTCTTCATATTATGATGCTTTTCTTATAAAAGTGTTAATTTCTCGCTACCTAACTATTTTCTGCTTGAGTTGTGTATTTTACTCATCAATCGTTACACAATAAAAAAAGTTGTAAAGTAAGTTCAGTTAAAGGTGTAAAATTTTAGATTAGTGTACAAAGTTTATTCGCCTACACTTAACTAATAAGCACAATACGATTGTTTTCCATCATTACATTTCGAATGACATATATATATATATATATATCATTTGCAAGACATTGATCACTGTCCTTTATCTATTATGTCATTTGATATTATATGGTTGTCCACATATAACGTACAGTAACTTCTGGTATCCCAGTCCAAATGAGTTAGAACAGACTGGTATTAACTGTATGGATTATTATTACACCTTAATCTGGAGTATTTGGTTTTTCTTTTCAAGTCAGCCGTACTATAACCAGAATTACTTGTTAGCTTAAACACTATCTCAGTATATGTAACAAATATCTCCAGTCTGCGCAAGTTGATAGTTTGTCTGAGCCTTAATTCCACCAGTCATTTAGCATTTCATCATAAATGGATGGTGCTTCAAGGGCACTTATGATAATGATTATAATTATGTTTACTATATATCCCAATTTTTATGTCAATAAGGAATATTAGTATGAAATTCCTTAATTTTGATATGAATGTCTTTCTTCATCGTAATATGTCAAATACTTAATCTGTTTACTCTGTAATCCATAGTAGTAAATAAAATAGTGTAGGGAATTCCGTCCTAAGTTTTTGTGTCTAAGAGAATTTAAACAACTCCAATTACTAACTAGATTTACTTCAAAATAGTTTTAGCAATATTTGCGAATGATCTGTAGCTTAAAATAAGGACAACAGCTGTTTGTTATTATCTTTGCTTTGATATTTAACGGTGAACGTTTTATCACACACCCAGATGACTTTGTCAGCATTTACTTCATGAAGAAATAACATGAAGATCCACTTGGAATATTTTCCAAACTTCAGTCTTATTCGATTGTAGATGATGTATTTTTTCATATTTTGATGTATTTGACTTTGAATTGTTGCCTGAATGTGAAGTTTGTGGTAGACTGGACACTTGATAATTGTTTCGTCTGAGAGATCGATAGTGGGTTATTTAGTTGATTCCTTTTTGGTACTGTATGTAATGCGCTGAATTTTTATGTATCTGTTGTCAATATTTCGCATAATTCTCCGGAAATCTTTCATTTCTGAATGTTGTAGTATTTCCATACTGCTCCATTCAAAGTCGTGGTTTTGCCTATCATATCACTACTACTGATGTCTGATATTTAGGTCTCTTGAACGACTGGATCACTCAGTGTGGTAGTGTTAATCGTCTTCACGATTGCATGAAAGTCAAGGGACCCTGTACAACTGTTTCACCTTAATTTGGTATTCGCCATCGACACTCATCCAGGATTTCATTCCAGATCAAATCTAAGATCGTTAGGTTTCGTATCAGTTACTTTATGACTCAATCACTGGATTGACATACAACAGGATCGTAGTCAGTCCCCTAAAACCGCCTAGATGTAGGCTAAATGTATATTGAAAGGGCTGGAGTAATTAGATTTGTTTCAGCGATTTTCTAAAAATCAAATAGTTCGGAAATCTAATGGCAGTTTCAACGCTGACTTACTGAATGGTTTCAGTAGAACTTTGCACCAGTGTGCAGCAGTTTGAGTTGCCACACTCCATGTAGCACACAAACCAAGAGAAGAGAGTAAAGAGAGATTCAAAAGAGAGAAATAAACAGAAATGTGAGACAAAAAGAATAGTAATGTGGAAGAACAATAGACTTTTAATGGATATTATAAGTCACAAGGATTGGATGCATCTGCGCCATCATTGAGAACGATTTTGAGAGAAAAATTATTTTTTCCATTATGATCTTCAGGTTGTAGGTAAATCATGTAACTGGAAATTGAAGTTGCAACAATAACATTTTACTGATTGACAATCAACCACACTTTTGAGAATGAGGACTTTATGTACTCTACTTGACTATCCAAATTCTGCGGATGGAACAGGATTCAGACTATTGGTTGAAAGTTGGACACCTTATCCAATAAACTACAGACGTTACTCTTAGAGTGTTAAGCAAGAAGGAGTCAGTTAATTATGTTGTAAAGCTTACTCGATTGAGATGGCTAGGAGATAGACGTGTTGCGCATGCCAAACCACTGCCTTCCTTGTCAACAAATGTTAGCTGGCGTAGAATTAGATTGGAATAATGTTAGAGGTACGTGGTCACACCAAAACCCGACATCAGTCCATGAAGTCTTTGACTGTTGTTTTGAGCCATGTAGGGAAGTGAAGACTGCCTGATTGTGGTCCTGGAGACATGAATGACCAATAGATGGAAATTGGTAATGATATGGCTCAAAATCTTTATCTGTAGCGTAGATGCATTCACTCTTTGCCATCTCTCATATCCATTAAACCGTCATGGTTTTACATTTTGCTCATTATAGTTCTTTCGAATCTCTTTTCCTTACCATTGTTTCCTACATGAAATGTGGCAACTTGAACTGCTGCACTTCTGTTCAAAGTTCTATGTTGAAACTCAGTCACTCAGCCGGTTAGTCACTACTGACCGAAAAATTAGATGGAAAACTAAACATAACATTTTATGCCGTCTCTGTCCATATTGTATTATTCTACACCAATTTATGCTTTCCCTCCCACCCACCCACCCCAATTTTATTTTAATATCTGCTTACTGTTGATATCTCCTCAGTACACCGCTCCGAAGAGTCGAAACCAAACAGAAAACTGAATTAATATACTAATATAACGTTTTTTCTCTTTTTATTTTTCACTCCTCAATTTTCTAATTATTACTCTTATCCACGCTATAATATTACCACTAAACATCTTATCTCAATGCCAAAAACATGACAAGTAATAGTAGTAGTAGTATTCCAATCCGTCTTAATTATCTTATCATTTATTCAATTCATAAGTTGTTTTAGGAGTTCAAAGGGTAATTTTTATTATTTAAAAAAAATCATCTATAAACTTTAGGTTATCGTCAATTTTATATCAAATATAATCATGTTACTTCAAATAATCATTTAATACTGCTATACTTGTTTATTGATTATGAGAGAAAAGAGACAATGTTTGTGTTATTTTGTCTTTAAAATTCAACCAGAAATGTCAGAACACACTAAAAGTGATCACGTTTAGAGTTGAATAAAAGAATATATATATATATAATGTAAGCTTAATGATTATATGAAACAAATATGGGGTAGTAGCCTAGCCAGAAATTGGGTAATTTGAACGGATTCAGTTCTCTGAGCTGAGTCATCTTGAGTAAACCGCTGATGAACTCGGCCCCAGACAAGCGAAATGGCCGTCCGGTGATGCTTAGGTTACTTTGATCTGACTGGCCGGCAAGTACTACTGATTGGTATGGATGCTATTCCAACTACTCATATCGATCAATGAGTAGTATATAGTCTTATGCACTTACACTTGGTTTCTTCATTGGCGTTTATTATATCAAGCAGATCCGAGTAATTTTGGTTTCCAAAAGAAGCTTTAGTGAAATATCATGTAGAGATGTGTAAATTGCGAATTTGAAACAAAAATGGTCTCAAAGGTGAATGATTAACCTGTAGTAAACTGACAATCGGATGTAGAGTTACATCATGGCTTCAACCTCTTTTCATGTTGTTTTTTTCCTGAGGTCGGGAATAACCATGTAGTGCTGTTTAGCATGACACATTGCTTGCAGTGACTAACTGTAACCTGTATGTTAACAAAATTACTCAAAATGCATTGTGATAGCTCAATCCAACGTGTTGAATATCACACCTTGATAATCCTTACAGCATATGTGGTGAGATCTGTTGCTTGGCCCTTGTCTTCTGTTGTTTCACATATTGTACAAATTTCTCTTCTTCTGAGTATATCACTGTTGATTGCTGGTTTGTAAGGATTTCATTGATTTCAAGTTTGATCGCGAACTGACTTCAGGTCTAGAGGCGGGTTCACATTAATCATTCAGCTGCCGGAACGGAATTCGATGGCCCGGTGATTCTGAATTTTGCCAATTCTCGATGTACAGCGTGACCACCCTGTCTGTGTCATAACAAGCTTGTTTAACAAAAAAGGTTTAGGTACACACAGTCAAAGGTAGATGTGTAGCCTACGAAGGTACAATGAACATATTTAGCATCTTAGTCTAAACAACATCTACTATGTTTGTAAGTAAATTGTTTTGGGTCATTGAAAGTCTTCAATGAAGGTTCAAGATTAAGTAAGAATAATTTTTGCATTATTTTCAAAAATGACTCAATTGGCTTTGTTTTCCATTTATTTATTTATTTATTAGCTACTGGAAAGAACTCTGCCTCATCATCATCAACGTCACCGTCGCCTACTACAACTTCCACACCATTAGGAAGTTTATCAACTATGTTGCATAAAATTATTCATGTCGAAGAAGTTAATCTATTCTGGGATTTATGGAGTACTACATCTAGTCAAGTAAAAACACGTTCCAGTTTATCTAGTTCACCAGATCCAAGTGAATCATCGTGTTCACCTCTTTCTAACAAAGTGAGTTTGAAATAAATAAAAATCAATTTTCATAAATTATCCGATGATCCTAAAATATTGTGTCATCTACTCCCGTTCTGTAGTGGAGAAGATCATCCCATTCGAATCGAAATATTTATTGTATGTTTTTCAAGCTGTGACCATCAAGGTACTCTATAGTATCTTTGTTTCACCAGTTATCTTTTTCTATTATATAGTCTCCAATGTATCATTACTATAATTCCGAGTAAAACATAGGGCTTCAACAGCACGTCTGCATTTCACCGTGTTTTCTGCATTCCTTCTTAGCTAGCTCCACGACTACCCACAAGCTTTCATCTTCTCCTCACACAATGTCCTCCATGTCACACTCAAACCCACACCCAGGTCGTCGTCTCTTATTTGAATTCTACTTATAGGATCTGATGCGTGATTTCACTCAAAGGCCTTCGCAGCTTTATGTTCTGTCTATCTCCATTTCCTTCGGCATATTTTTTGGGTAATAGATCCTTGGTTGGTTCTTTGCCACAGTACTTTATTGCTTTTCCTTTCCGACCGGTCATCTGATCTTTATTATCAAGGCAATGAAGTAACCATTGTAAACGCTTTTGGTGACGAGGGTGGCAAGTCTCTGAACCATATAAAAGAATTGACTTGACATTAGTGTTGAAAACCCAAATCTTGTTCCTTATTCTGAGTGTATTGCCTTTATACTTCCCATTACTACTACTTGATTACACGGACTGTCCGACCTTCATTCATTTTGTATTTCCAAATTGCCATTTACGTATTCAGAAAAAACAACGGATTGAGCGAAGAAATACATTCCTTTTCAAATGTTAGTTTGCAGGGATTTGATTGTTTACAGGATTTCATCACGAGCTGACATCAGTTATAGAACCATTGGAAAACCTGGAAGTATTGGACACCTGTTTCATCCTAGTTTTTGGGACTGCATCAGTACGCACCCACACTGTGGGGTTTGAACCCAGGACCTTCTGGTTAAAAGGCGAGCTAGCTCGTAGACCATTAAGCCACTGGGACCCGATCAGGTTTTCCAATGGTTCTCTAACCGATATGAGTTCATGATGAAATCTTGCAACCATTCAAATCTCTGGAAACCAACACTTCAATCTGATGCTCACTAGCGACTGGTCCTATTCATATAAGAATAAAACTTGTGCACTTTGGTAGAGTATAATTCCATTATCAAGGTCACCTTGATATAATTATGAGCAGTAAATTGTGCTCGAAACGTCATCAGTGAGTATTACTGTATAACACTGTGAAACTTTATCAAAACGAATTTTATCCATAATCGTCCTATTCAGGTAGGTAGTTACCTGGGTTCTGGTGAGTAGTCGTGACCAGTTGAGCATAGCCGGTCGGGTGTGACGAAAAACACTCACCGGTGACATTGGCTAGTGGTCGCGCTATATCGTGAATTGGCGGAAGATTTTCTTTCCAATTAGTTCCTCATAATTGCAGCTCAATACTAACTCATCTCGTCGACACTGGACATCAAGTCTAATCTAACAAAGCTTTTAAAGTATTATCGTATATCACCCAACCTCTCGCATGGTCTACGAGTACGACTTTTACATAAAGCAGAGGCAATCGAAATTCATCTGAACAAGCCAAATCTGTGTGTCCAAAAGAAATTTGTACAGTCCCTTTCTTCGTTATGGCCAACTACATAATGTGTACTAAGTTTCTAAAACACGATTTTTTCCCCTCCTCTTGTAACTATCTTTTGACTTTGTTAATTTTCACAATTCTAGCTAATTCTACTAACTTATTTGTATTTTACATAATTCTTCTGAGTCATCCTATTCTTCTTAGCCATCATTATTTTATAAATATCTTGGTTATGTAGTAACTTGTTGCTAACGCTTAAGAATTGACTTATCTTAAATCCCGTAATTAATTGTCACCCCTCTTTCAAGACTTAGATATCTTGTTACCAAGATCTGTTAGTCAACTGTTTTTATTTCACCTCCTCCCTGATACCTAGAAATGATTAATTAAAATAACCACTTGATTGGTAAGGTTTTCGATGTATAGTGTAGAGCCAGTGGATGCTGAGGAACTATTTGAAAAAGAATACATTTCTTCGCTCATTCTGCTGTCATTGTATATTTACATACATATTCCCATCATAAGTGATAATGGACATTGTCTATTTTGCTTTATAGTCTGGGTATACTAAAGAGAACTCAATAGGATAAGAAAGTTTGATTTCCTACTGTAAACTAGAAACAGTATGATTTTATACACTAAGTCATAGTTGAAACAAGCGACTAGGATAAACTTCATGATTGGCTTCGTAGTTCATTATCAAAGCACAGGTTATCTCCGTTGATAAAAAAATAACGACAACTGATCATTCAAGACTATTGAATAAATTATCTCATCTATGAACCTGACTATGTAGTAGTCACGTGGAATGGGTAATGAGAAGGTCAACGAGTGAGCAGGTAACATTTATTCACACTAAAATTTACTAACAAATTCCTACCACCGCTATTCCGTGAACTCTTGAATTTTATCATTCATTTCTTTCTTATTACATTAAACTAACAACAGAAGACAAGGGCCAGGCAACAGATCGTTTATTAAGGAAAATCAACACATATTTATAGATTTTAATGTACATTATTGTAAGTAGAAAATACAGTCTTTTGATTGGTTGTTTCTCACAGAAAGTTAACCTTGCATCTCTTTGTGGCTGTGTCAGATCATCCATATGCTAACTGTATCCGCCTACGCAAAGCCTTGTTCTCATTTTCTCACCACCAATATTGGGGACATAAACATTGACGTCAATTACTGTCTACCAACTTTGGCTAGCAGCCAGCTCTCACCACAAAACTATTTTCTATAGTTGGTTTGTAAGGATTAGTTTTTCTTTTTACGAGTTGATCACGAATTGATATCAGAGAAGCATTGAAAACCAGCACTAGAGTACTGGACAGCTGTTTCATCCTAGTTTGGGAATCATCTGCGGTACGCGCCCACCGCCAAGGGTTCGAACTCAGGACCTTCCGGTTACAAGGCAAGCTCGTATACCATTCAGCCACTGGGACCCAATTCATTGGCCATTCCATGAATTCTAACTTCTACCAATTCGTGATTTAGCGCGACCCTAACCAATGTCGTCGGTGGGACATCCATCCCCACACGTGACATCTGGTCACGACTTCTCACTGGAACTCCAGGAAACTCCATCCTGTAGCAAGTCACTGGCGAACCCCAGTGGGTGCCTACTGCCGATGATCCCCAAACTAGGATAAAACAGCTGTCCAGTACTCTAGTGCTGGTTTCCAATGGTTCCCCAACTGATATCAATCCGTGATCAACTCGTAAAAACATTAAACTATGCTTAAGTTCTCTTCATACATTAGAGATTATAAAACCAAGCAGGTTTTTTATCCCTTTACGTTCCCACTGGAACATAGGGCTTCAGGCTACATCTTTGAAGTTTCGGTAGCAGTAGTGTTTATTTTTATAGGATGGGGTTGCTAGCCTCACGCCCAACCTTCTTTATTTATCGGACTTATTACCGGCTTAGCAAGGCTTAGGAGTGCGTTGGGCAAAGACCGAACCTCGGACCACGTGCGTGGTTGGCGAGCGTTCTACCGCTGAACCACCGATGACGCAAAATCAAGCAGGTAGTAGAAGAAACTGATGGAAACATAAGGAGTTGTATAGAATATACAAATATGTGGTGTTACAAATTACAGTCATAATGAGTTCATTCGAATGATACTGTTATCTGCCTGTCTTCAAATTATATTATTATTTGCGTCGGCAGTTCAACTGTTGAATGCTCGCTAACCACATACACCCACATGATCCGGATTCGATTCCTGACCGACTCACTCGTAAACCTCGCTTAGTTGACTTAGCCGGAAGTAAGCCTGGAAAAGAGAGAAGGTTTAGCAGAAGGTTGGCAGCCCCCCCTCGCCCTCCGTAAAATAGACAACACCACCGCCGCCGCTGAGAATTTGAAGCTTGAAGCCCTACATTCTATGAGGAATTCAAAGGCATGAAAAGGCCATTATTATTATTATCGTCAAATTCCATTTCAGGCGACTATCTGACTTCATCAACTAACTAGCTATAAGGTTCTTTTCAACTCAACCTTTTGGGATACCTATTGCCTCACAATCAGGTGATGTAATGGATAATTTGGAAGTCATTCAAACGGATAACTGTCAATTTCAAATCTGTTTAATCTGTATTTAAACATCAACTTAAGGTCAATGCTCTAGAAGTGAAGCAATATATTATAAATGATGGTGAGAATATCTGAGATAGCCTTAACTTGGCAGATATTGCAATTGATATAATGCGTGATGATTTAAAGGTAAAATTAAAGTCTGGATCGTGGTAGAATTCAAACCAGTGGTCTGCAAATTACTAGTCCGGTTCTCCTCTATCATCTGAGCTACGGGACCCAAACAGCTAGTCAGGTCATCATTTCACTGCTTTAAAAATAAATTAATAAATAAGTTTACCTGTTAGATTAAAGGTGTGATTTTAGCCTTGACGAAAGTGGTGAGGAGGGTGCATTTTTGTTTATGATGAATGATGATGCGCATTTCGTGCTGCCTGAGACTCCTCAGATAGGTGTACGTACATCTCCAGTGACAGATAGTGGTGTCCCCATTGGGACTCAAACGAACCCTGCACCCACCTTTTCAAACGTCGAAGCGTTATGTTGACTAGTAGCGCTGATATCTCAACAGAGACGGAACATTTCGGTCTAAAATAATCAGTCAGCGAGAAATGCATATTCATCTAAAAGCAAATGAAGTAGGTGTGGTTAATATGTGAGCGAACGTTACCACTAAGGTGCCAAGGTAGAAGTAGGTTGAATGGGATTCGAACCTGTGACCATCGTTTGGTTGGAAGTTAAGCCCTCAAGTCAATGAGTGACGCAGCTAAGTTACAGTTAAATGAATTGTATTTTTGTGTTTCGCTGTATCACTTCTGGTAACCAGACATTTGACAATAAA